GCAGTGGTATCAACGCAGAGTACTACTGTATACAGCATGTTCTTGAAGTTCCGTTTTCAATTTTTTCAAAATTTTCTGCGCGCGTATATTCACAAGGTCGCAACGCAGCGCACATCAAACATAAAAGACTCTATTAAGCACTGTTGGATTGTGCTGCTTCCGCAGATTATCGAGCGCTAAGAAGCAAACGGAGAATCTTTTTGAGAAAAGATAGAAGAGCTGGTGAATTCTGGAAAATCGTGTTGTCTCAAATTTTGCCCACAGTGACCCTAAAATGAGAAGCTCTACTGCTAAGCAGATGTGATTTTCGTAATCAGCAGGTCAGATAACCTCTATGAGCAAGTTTTCAAAGAAATTTGGGTGATTCGATTTTTTCTCGTTCTACGACCTGAAGCTCGCCGATGGGTTTTGGTCAAAATGTCGATGACCTTGGATTGTAAAGAAACTTCGCCCAAAGAGGTTTTCGAACACGCTGTTTACGAAAATAGTGGTCTTTGAAGAAGACAGGGTCTTTTTGTAGAGATATTGTGAGGTGACTGTAACTGAGTCACGAAAGTTCGTAAATTTGCCTGCACTTTTCGCGAATTTGTCAGAAAACTAGCCAACTAGCCTGCGCTGCGTTGCGACCTTGTGAATATACGCGCGCAGAAAATTTTGAAAAAATTGAAAACGGAACTTCAAGAACATGCTGTATACAGTAAGATTCGACTTGACAAGATGAACACAAATCTGCTTTCTGATTTCGAAAATGTTCATTTTGAAGAAAGTTACGGCTAGTAAAACTTGGAACAGCCTAACTTTTCCAGAGTTTATCAGCTCTTCTATCTCTTTTGAAAGGGAGTCTTCGGCTGCTGTTTAGCGCACGATAATCTAGTGTAAGAGTACTATCGAACGGTGCCCATGGCAGTCTCCTATGTGTGATGCTTGTTGCGTTACACCCATGCGAAGAGGCGTCGGCATGCAAATTCAAGATTATTGAGAACAAGATATTGGAGACAATCGTATATCCAAAGATTTGCCTTGACGAGCTGAATACAACGTTGTTTTCGGATTTTGAATATACTCATTCGGAAAAAAGTTATGGCCCTGCGTAATTTGCGTGATTCACATGAATTTCGCGGAATTCCCGGAAATTTTGCATGTTCTGTGAGTGGTTTTGTACTATAAGAGATAGAGCGATAAAAACTCACACAGCGTTTTCCAAAGTACATTTCTTATTGTATATCAAAAATGATCCAATTTTGTGTCGTCAGTGATAAATGATAAAATGATGATATCAATGACAACGACCGATAAGAATGGCTTAAATTCATGCGGCCGATTTCCACGTTCATCTTCCATATAGGTACAGAATTTCAGCCCAGGCTTCGGCGTGAAGCGAGTTGAAGCAAAAATGCCATTCTAGGTAAGAATTGGCAGCAATGGCATGTGCCGATGAAAAATCGATCGATTGCTGCAGTGAGGGATCTACCAATCGCACCGAGCAATAGAACTAGAAAAGTCTGTAGATCACTTATAATGAGAGAAAGAGCGATAGAAATTCACACAGCTTTTCCTACAGTACTTTCCTTACCATATGCAAAAAATGATCCAAAAATGTATTATTATCAGTGATAAATGATAAAATGCTTATATCAGCGATAAGGGTAGATAAAAACTGCCCAATTTTTCGCGATAGTTTCCGATAACGGGAGCTTTGTACCAGAACCTCCTATACGCGATTTACACTGTGATAAATGTTCACAAAAGCCTTAACGTAGAAAACAACAAGGTATCATTGTATGTCTACCCCGTCACTATGAACTACGGACATACCGTACATTAAAAGATTCGTCTCATCAAGCTGAAACCAAATCTTCACTCAGATTACAAATAAAGCTATTTTAAAAGAAGTTATAGTTAATATCGCTTATCCCGCAAATCCCGCGAATCCCGCAAATCCCGCGAAGTCGCGAATCCCGCGAATCCCGCGAATCCCGACAATCCCGCGAATCCCGACAATCCCGCAGTTTTGGACAAATTCCACCGCTGCAACTGTACGCGATATGTGCACTTTCGGAAGTTGCTACATGTATCATGAAGCGCTTAATTACCTCTTTCAAATAAAAGTTGATGCATGCAAGTCCGTTGAGAAATCAGAATTTTTGAATGGTGCAACAGAACTTTCGATCCACCCTAATATTAACCAAAATTATAGAATAGCAAACTCGTTGTGTTCATGCTTCTGCTTAGCTTGCATGTGACAAGCCTTCGCATACATTGGCTAACTGCTCTATCATTTAGTATTCTACAACTGGTTTTCGTGACTTGCGACGATACAAACCAGCAGCCAGTGAAAGCTAAAACAGGACTCTAGCTTTACACCACCAAGTGTGGATATGAGTGCCATCTTCTAATCGGCGACAAACATAAAAAATCAGCATCTTATAATTATTGGAAACGAAAGTGTTTTTAAGCTGTGAAAACTCTCGTTCTAATTTTTCTCAAAATTCCATTATAAAAGCAGCTGAATCTCCTGGTTGAACGAAAATTCAAGATGTTTCCCAGGTCATCCAACATGCAAAATTCGTGAATTAGCAACATCGTTTGGGTTTTTAGAAGAAAAGCTTACCTTTCTTAAGAAAAAGCTAAAATTTGATTAAAAAAAATGGAGTCATCACTTCGCTTGCAGTTTTACGAATTGTAAGAGGGAAGTACGAAAAACTAATCACTGGACCACTTGTAGTACAACTTACCCTCCTCCTCCTCCTCCCCCTGCTCCTCCGATTGGACATGGCGGTTTTGAGTTAGCAAATGCACATTGAATTGGACTGCAGCACCCAGGTGGTTCTGGTGGCAGTTGGTGAACGATCGGAGGGGGCAATTCGAAATCCAAGTTGAATAATATCGCAGATAATGGCTGCGCGATGACTAACAGCAATAATGCTGAGTTGATCTGGAATTTATTACTTCGTCAAACAAATACGCAAAGATGCATCTCTGAGAAAATGGGGACTTACCATTACTTCAACCTAGACGATCAGCAAACCTGCGTCAGCTCTTCGTTCAATCCAGCCCAGAAAATCCTATGTGTTTTTTGAAGATGGTATTATGGTAAAATAGCAGGAAATAGTTTACGATGGAGGCCCAATGAAACTATGAAAGAATTCGCGATTGTTTCTAGCTTTGTATATATACTGTTTACACTGTGTTAGAAGTCGCAAAGTGGGCATATCGTGATTATAGATCTAATAAGAGAGCTCGTTTTACTAGCACACAGAAAACAGACTAGATAAAGCCAGATCATTCAGCGGTCACACCCCCTACATGATCTCATGCCATACTTACTGCTTGCCACAAATGGGCACACACTTTAGTAGTAATCCCAAGAGATTTATGCCAGGATCGAAAAGGAGAAAGGTGTTTTTAACGTTGAATATTGAGTACTAGCTGGTGGTCCCGGTTTCACCCGAGACTCTGAATTAGTTTAACAAAAATGTTTACTTACACTTTCAAACTTGCGAAAAGCGCTTTGAGACGAACTGCTGCATTCTGCTGACCTTGAGGTTAGAATGAGCTTCACCGCCCTGCTTACATGTTCATTGCAAAATGTTAGAGCATTTGAACTCTTAAGAGGCAAGTAAACAAATCACTAAATCAATAGAATTACCCAGCGAATCGCTGCAAAAGTAGCGCTAAACCACCTCCGGGATCGAAAACATATGTGTGCAAAGTTTCAGCTCAATTGGTTCATTGGATGGCGTTTCTATAACGAACGAATAAACGAACACACTTACAGAGTTTGAGTTTTATATATATAGATTTTATCTAAGCGCGAAAGAGAATTTTTTTTGTTCTTATTTTATACTTTTTTGAGGCGCACTTCGATCAGTACATAATCTGAATCATGTAGTTTTCACTGAAGTGGTGTGAGCCTAATTCGTTTTCACTCCTCAAAAATGCAATAAACGCAATTTTAGCTAACTTTATTTTGGTCATTATTCGCAGTGGAAATCCTAGTGTGGGCCCAGAAGCGGTAGTTCTTTGTATCCTTTGAAACAACGTGGATTGCTTCCCTTAGGTAAGGAAACCTCATGAAGGCAGCGTCCCGGCAGATTTTCGCTTTCCAGTTTTTCACTTATTCAGAGCCTTCTCGCCATAAGGAATCCATATCTGGGCTTTTCAACGCCTAAAAATAGCGAAATTGAGCTTCTTCCAAAGCTTTCTAGGTACTTCATTAAAAATACGCCAGAAGTCTTGCGCCCCTCCCCCCCCCCCCCCTGCCCACTTACACGTATGTTCCACTGGTTGCGGACCTGGAAAACTTTGGAACAAGCTCATTTTCGCCATTTTATACGCTGAAAAGCCCGGATATGAGTTCCTTGTAGCGAGAAGGCTCCGAAAAGGTAAGAAAATTAAAAACGAAATTTTGCCGGGACACTGCCTATAAGGTGTTTTGCTCTTTACGAAAATGGTGTTCTTTCTGCTTAGTGGGCCTCTTTGTCATACTTACGATAGGAGGTATAAGTACACGTATACGGTACTTCATGAGGCTAGTACTGAACACAACTCAGGAGGAGTAGGAGGACGGGGGGGGGGGTCCATCTCCTGTCTAGCAATCGTGTGCCATACCCCTGGCTCGACCCTCGTTTGTTGTTTCGCAAGAGACCGGTGTCAGCTTGGAACACTCGCACTTTTACTCTCGGGTCAAAATGACAGATTTGTGGCAACGCGCAGGTTTTTACCTCCGATCTCGTTTGAAGTGAACGACTCGAGCGGGACAAGTCACTTCCGCTCGAGCCGTTCACTTCAAATGAGACAAGGGGTAAATACCTGCGCTACTCGCCTGGACCCTGCGCTTCGTTCGCGGACCTGTTGGCCGATCATTTTCCCACGCCTAATCGCCTGAGCGTGGGAAAAGGGCTCCGAGGCAAGCTTTAATCCTTAATTAGACACGGAAAAATCTCCTACATGTTTGGGACTGCGCCGCAGAATCCACGCAAAACGATGGCGCGAGGCCTGAACTGCTAGAGTTGGACTTATTCCAAATGAGACAGAGCGTAAATAGATTAATCAGCTCGTGGAAGCCGAAGCAGACTGCTGGTCATCTTACGGCATTCACAGCTTCTACTGGTGCCAAAAGCCGTCTTTCATATTTGTTTCAGACTCTGTCTGTCAGCATGACAGCTCAGACAATCGCAAATGACTTCCGGGGGAAACTGAACTTCTAAAACTTCCGGTGGATCATTCCTTTTGGAGCTGCCAGGTAGGGCGGGGCCAGGTAGGGCGAGGCCCACCAACACGACCCAATAGGAGCGTCTCCCCGGAAGTTTTAGAAGTTCAGTTTCCCCGGAAGTCATTCGCGATTGTCTGAGCTCATTATCCTTGTTCGGCTGTGTTGCCACAGAAAGCACGTGAGCATAAAAAATTGATCTTTGTGAGACGACTTTATCAGTCAGAAAGACTCAATTATACAGAATATGCGATATATCAGATTATCAAATACCGGTCTTAACAAACAAAGTACGAGAAATCACGTAATACAAAAATAACTTCAGCTTGGAACTAAGCGAGACACGGTCTCTACTAGTTTTACTATTCAAAAATACTACTTACAACACGACTAGGGGGCACATCGACTACGGAAAATCAAAATTTCGTTCAATTTCATCAATAACACTAACCATTACTGCTAGCGAATATGTTTGATAGAGTGTTATATTTACAAAGTTTTTTTTGAAGCAAATTCTTGCAAAAACGTACTTATTGAAGGAAGAGTGCTAGAATTACAACTGAGTCATTTCAAGGTTAATTTTGCATGCAAAAGCGAAGCAGCAGGGAAAAAGAACAAGAAAGTTCAGCGGAATAGAAAACAGATCAAAAGAAAACGGAGAGAATATAGAAAGTCTTCATACACTTCAATAATTTCGTATAATATAGCCAGTTTCACCAAGATGCCTAGAGTATATAGGTAGATCACTTCGCCTATCGATGCTTATGTCGCTTGAATGAGAAGAGCATCCAGAGCGTATAGAAGTAATGGCGAAATGATCCACTCCTTCTGACGCATTCAGGCTGAAAAACAATTGAGCTTTCAATTTATATGAAACATTTTGGGCACTTACCCTCGACAAACATCTCGGAAAATATAGGCGAATAAGATGGTGCATAGAATCGTCAGCGTCGCAAAAGCTGTGCAAGCCGCAAACAAAGACATCTGATTGAAGCATGTCAACGGGGATTCGGGTAGCGATTCGGACGTTTGAATTGCTGAATACATTCCTATTGCTCAATGACAAAAATTTTTGTGAACTCATGGCACTCATTGACGAGTGCATGGCTTTTTCATCAAAATAATCTGTTTCTTGGATTTTAGAAGCCCCTTTTCCCAAGAAACATAACCTTGACTGTCCTTATCTACTTATGTGCTCATTAACGTGTTTCCGTTTTTCTTTTGTTATAAGAATTGTATTTAGAAAGTTCTGGCCCTCTCTTACAGAAATGATAAGCTAATCTTTATCGCGCTTATCAAGTAAGTAGCGAATAATGTGGGGATGCATCTTTTTATTCAGACGTAACCTTTGATTCAACTGGCTTTGGCGGGGCTTTGACCTATTAAGGCCGCTCGCGCCCGCTACGCACTCTGCGTCTCTCCCGCGCGCGTGCTTTCTGGTCATTACATAGCCTTAATCAGGTCACGAAGCCCCGCCTTCCAGCCGCCAAGCCAGTTGAATCAAAGGGTGATCTTGAATAATTTTTTCACAATTCTGCTCGTTCTGTCAACTTTTGCGATGGTAGATCTTCCAATCTTTTCGTTGTTATTCTACCTCACCGGATGTAATCAAGACTTCTCCTCTCCTTTGTATGTGCAATCGCTTTCTGCCCACTTATCTGTATGCGGAGCTCCTCTTTACCAAAATCGACTCTAGACCTCTATAGAATAATTTCATGGCTTGTGAATCATTGATTTATTTTGATGAAACTCTTTTGAACTGCGAAAATAGTGATCTTGGGACTATTCAGTAGTAAAATTCATACAATGTTCCATGTAATGGAGTAGATCGCGGAATGTTTGTTAGTTCAAATGCACCGGAAATCATTGTTTTCGTTTTTCAAATTGTTTTTATTTGTGATTGCCAAAAATTAACAGTGGAAACCGTAAATCAGCCTCGAATATACTTCTCTTATTAAAATCATGAGCTCAGAATTTAACGCCCGAAAGCATCGATGGAAATATTGAGAGCCGCTGCAATCACATCGCTCCTCAAAGGAAAAACTGCTGTGATCTCACCCCTCCAAATTTGCAAACTGCTTTTCTTCTTACCTTCATTTGTAGGCAACTCATCCACTGGTCGCAGCGTTAACTCCTCCGTCATCACATCAATAATTTGATCAGCAAGACGTCTGCCAGACCGTTCAGATGCTGAATAGATCAATATATCAGTTTGTCCAAGGGTGATTACGATAGAGGGGTAAATAGGGGATGGCTTACCCGGTCGAATGATAGGTGCCGCGCTGGTGCTTTTCACAAAAATCTCCAATGGATGATCGTTGAGGTCGGGAATCATGGGTATCGTCCAAGGGAAGTCATTTGTTTCGGTGGTGGAGAAGTCGAAAGTTGTTTGTTCGGACTAAATTTGGAGTGATAAGAGTTATTATCGGGGAGTTTAGACTACGTCTTTGCCCGCACCAGCGCCTTACTAGCGCCGCGCTGGAACCCACGCGCACTCGCCCGGTATCAATCGATGATGACTTTCCAGCACGGCGCTAACACGTGCGGACACGCTGCCGGAAGTTGGTACAGCGGCAGTACAGGCTCTGGGCGCTACCAATGAAATAATTTACCGGAGCGCCAGTCGTCAACATTTTCAAAGTTGTCTGCCTTGCGTCCGCTCGTTCTTCGTCTGTTCTTTCTGGCATTAGTGTGCTAGCCTCATGCACCTCTCTTTCCGTACTGTTGTTATCCTCATCTAAACCATCCTGCTCCTTTCGCCATGGGTACAAATCTTCGAATTCTGGAGAATAAGCTGGAAATACTTTAGTAAGGACAAGATCCATGTTCTCAAATCAAGAAAAGGACGAGGGAGCTGACCTGGCGGGTGAAGCGTGCCATCAAGAACCGCGTTACCCATTGCAGAGCGAAGTGTGCCTTCGAATGTGGCTATGACCTAAAACAAAACTTCCACTGGTGTGTATGTATCAAGGGGTAATCTACCTGAGTAGGATTTACTGATGAATCAACAACAGAGTTGGGGATGAATTCACTTCGAGTCATAAGTGGGCAATTTGGGGGCTAAAATAAGGATCATTGAGCGAAAAAAGTACAATTTTACTCAATGGGACAGGAGTAAATTGAAGATGATTGTCCCAAATTCATCGATATCATCACCTAGCTTTCGATCTGTTCTCAACAAAAATTCATTATCTTTTCATTAATTCAAAACACACTGAGCTTAATATTTTACTAGAGTGTCGGATGAAGTAGTAAGCTGTACATACCGTAATCCCAAGGCATTCATTATCTCTTTTGTCGCATATCTGCACTTGACATTGGAACTGTACATTACTTCGATCCGGAAATACAAAAGCTTCGACAACCATGTAAGCAGAAGAGAGTGATTGATCGTAATTGATTGGTCGAAGTTGGATTGGTAGCGCATATGGACATCTAAAAAATGTTGTCATGATTTTTGAATCAAACTGTCAGAGAATGTAAAAATAAAAAATTACCTAAAAGAAAAAATTAAAAATTCACCTAAAAGGACCTATTTCTGCGTTTTCCTACGCTTTTCTACTTTCTAACACAAAAACTATGATCAAACTGGCATGAGCGGAGACCTTTTTGAGAATAAGGAGAGAAACTGAGAGAAAACATAGGGAGCATGAAAACATTCCAAACACTTTCTGGTTTGCAAGCAGCAAATTTACCTAAAAACACCTATTTCTGCGTTTTCCTACGCTTTTCTACTTTGCTGTGAAGCTTAGATGTAGCAATTTCTAATTATGCGTCTCAGACGTCTCTCGTCTCGTCGTTATATAATTTTATTCCCTAACTATGGTACCCTTCAAGCAACTCACCCTCTCTCGTCAATTATCGGTATAGATAATCCTGTACTATCGATTGCATTACAATTACGCACGAGCATACCGAATCGAGCTGGAAGAAAAAATCTGTGAGAAAGTTAACGAGGAGTCAGTCGTGGTCCCGTGGTGTAGCGGTTAGCACTCAGGACTCTGAATCCTGCGACGGGAGTTCAAATCTCCCCGGGACCTATGGTTTTTGCAGTTAGAACTACGTCTTTTGCGAACACTTCTTGCATAAAAATGATGAGTTCCCTTACTGCTGGTCCTGCAATCCCATCGATGCACAAGATTTGCGCCAATAGAGGATGTTCTGACGCGTTGTCCATCAGGCGATCCTTCGCGAATAGAATATTCACATTCAGGCATTAGCGTTGACTGTTGTTCCAGTGACTCAGACGGTAGGTTACTGTAATCCCTATACTGTAGAACTACTGTAGGGCTCTTAGATATAATTGCTATATTGATGCAGAAAAATGAACAGTATAGTAGTAAAAACGGATTAGGAACAAATTATTGATTTTTTTCGTACTTATACATCCACTAACCTCACATCCATATCAGCATTGACAGTCTTATCGATATAAGCATAAAAACAGCGTACATTATAGGCTCGGTCCACTTTTGTCATAAAATGTGGATGAAAATTTGCGACAAACGTCAGCACATAGTTCATTCCATGTGGTTGTAGCTAAATTTATAGATCAGCATTTTACTAATTAGTTGTCATGCCATGCCACTCGATAAGAAAAATGATTGATTTATCGATTTTTGAGTAGTGCGACACCGACCTGTCGAATTCGTCGCATTCCACAATCGCCAATGCGAACCACAAATGTGGCACCAGAAAAATCATTACCGTAGTATTCTTGCCGACAATTATCCATACCATAATGACCTTTGACATAGATATTGCCCCTAAATATTGATTTTTCAGATCTGCTACCCAAAATACTCAAAGATTGCGTGCGTCAATAAAAAGCACTAAAAACCAGATATAGCCATGGTAAATTTTCCTCTAAACTCTCTTACCTTTTAAAAATTGTGGCCTTGCTAGAATTCAAGGTGCTTAGAAAAACTGAAAGTCAAGAGCATGTGTTCTAGCAGCTAAGCAGCTTGCGATTATCCGAAATATTAATATTTAAATTCTTATATAGAAGTCAGTAAAAAAGAGTATATACGGTCTTCTTTGATATAAAATGTCGGAGGTTACAAAACCCACTTGAATGGAGCTGATGTTCGCACTGAAAAAGTGATAGCATCTTCACTACATTGCACGTCTGGTGTACCGACAACTTCGTTCTCATCACGGTTTGAACTGTTTGGACCCATCTAAAATTCGAGGATCTTGTTGTTTATCACGAATTCCCAGGAGGGTCCAAAAACCAAGGTAAATTACCTGTGAAGCAACTGTTAACCATAATTGAGCGAGAAAGGCTATCCTCATCTAAAAAATTTACAAACGTAGTATTTTGCGGTTGGTACAAGAGTTTAAGAAACAATAAATGACAGTGCGATAGGAACAAATATGAAGTGATTACAAACATGATAAGGAGCTATAATTCACTGGATCTATTTTTTAACACGACGAAAACTTTTTGCTCAGCCAAAAGGCCTATCCAAACTAAAATACCTGGATCGTCAATCGAAGGCAAGTAGAATCAATTTTTAATATAGTTCATATCTATCTCATTTCTTGGAATACTTAATCAATATATATTTATTAGACTTGAAACCTGCAGATTCCTTTTTGAGATGCCTCTGCTTTCTGAACAGATCAGAATGAAGGAGTTCCATTAAAAATCCAAAAAAAGCAGCAGATATGTTCTGTGCTCTTTTTTTCGACAAGTGGAGCTTCATGCTACGATCTGGAGTCTGCACCATGCGATTTCGCTAATAGATGTTACTATTAAGGTCCCATAATTTTTTATTATCTTTACTTCCCGCAACAACTCATTTTTTTCTTATTTTTCAAAAAAGGTTTGGCGGTACCATTCGATAGAGCAAAGTAATCCAAATATATGCCCAGAGTTTGCTCAACGTAAAATTCGAAGACGAAATCAAAGAAGATCTAGTTGTTCGAAAAGTCGAGAAAAAAACCATATCTCCGTCCAGAAATTGCCTACGGACCTCCTACCTGCTCAGGCATGTACTCTCTATATCCGATATTTACCTGTAAAATTGTTATTTTTTTTCCGCGGCTGAAACTCGAGAAGCATACACCAAAATAGGTCAAAAATACCAAAAAGTTGTCTTTTTCGGCTTTGTGTGCATTTGAAAAAATTCGTAGTTTCCACTTTCTTACTGTCGAATCACTTTTGCGGGAGTAGCCCAAAGCAACTTTGGCAAAAACATGAGAATTATTTCTTCTCCATTTCTAGCCGTGCAGAAATCAGCTAATTTACAGATGAATATTCGAACTTACTTGCCCGCGCAATAGGAACTTTGTACGGATTCTTTTGAGAGGAGTTACGATTTTTTCTCGACCTTCCGGGCATTTAGATCTTCTTGAAATTCGTCTTTGAACTCTATGTAGAAAGAAATCCAAGCAAATGTTTGGAATTACCTCGTAGAGCTTGCTTTGCTCGAATGGTACTGCATAAGCTATTGAAAAAACAAAAAGAATATGAGTTATTGTGGAAGAAAGTAAAAACGGTAAAAAATCATGGGACACCTGATAGATGGAAAAAGAAAAAGCACGAAGAGCATTCAGACTAGGATAAACTTTCACAATTTTGATGGTTGGGAAAAAACCTTCAGGACGAGTTCCGCCATAGAAGTGGACGATTTCCAATCTATATCCTGTATAGTCTGCGCCTCAGCGTTGCTCTCATAAGTATTACCGCTTCGCATGCCTTTCGCGCTTTTGCACTGCCTTTGGCGCGCCTTTTCTAGAAAACTCAAGTAATCCCATGTCCACGCACCAAAAGCAGCAAATGATTTTCTTTTATCGAAGGATTTGAGTAAACACCATAAATGCCCAGCTTATCTTCTTTCCCTTCCTCCTTCTCGCTTTATTTCCAAATTATCATCCCTCGCACCTGTGGAGATGCCAATAGGTTGCCGCTGTCGTTAGGTGCGCGCCATTTGCATGACCTCATTGGCGCAGCTGGCTAAATAAAACAATCGCGCATGTGTGTTTGCTTGTGTTTTCAGGCGTGTGCTCACTGAGAAAAGCCGACAATGCGAGAAGATGATACCATATAAGTTGAGAGTGGCGGGAGGGGGCAAGGAGGATTGTCTGATTGAGCTTCAAAAAATAGAATGAAGTCAGACACACCGCTCTACTTTGTAAGCATAAGTAGCCACTAGCAAATGGATATTGCTCAAAGTGGACTAGCCACACTAAGGTACTTAAGTAGCGGCTCGCTGTCCTACTTCAAGTCACGAAAATTTGTCACAACGGATCCTGGATCTTGGGAGATGGACTGTATTATTGGTGTTCACATGAAAGAACGCAGTTTTTCCCTTGTACAAATCTTACCCAAATATCTTTGATTAGGAAACAGATTTACCATTACGGACTGATACTCTGCGATAGGTCATGCTGTTTAAATACATGACAGGCATATTCAGAACAACATTCCCACTTCTTTTTGACATTTACATTTATCTTATAGGGGCTATATTGTTTCGGCATTTTGACCAGTTCAACAACCCTTGAATTTAGGCCTGTAACTTCCATTATTTCTAGCTTCAGTTAAAATGATGCATTTGTCAGATCTGATTTATAAATATTTGTTACCTAAGTAATGTGCCCGTTTTCAAGATACTAGACAGGCACGATTCGCCAAAAATGTTTGAATTTTCTTTGTTATCTTACAGATGTCAATATCGTGGTTCCCGAAATAAAAATCAGTTTTCGAATGGTAAGGTTAACAATCATAGAATTTGAACTTTGCATTACCATAAGTTCTGACATGGCAATGCAAAGTTCGTTCAGCATGCCTTTCAAAACCAAGATCAATACAAAAATCACAAAAACTAGCGTAACTTGAGTATGGTAAAAGTTATACAGCGAAATGACAAATGGCATTATCTGATTGCTCAAATAAGGTTCTAGAAATCTTCTTGCCACAAAGAAAACGAAGAGAACTTGCGCAAAATCACGAACAACAATATCTGCTTGAAATCTTTAACCAGCAGAAAACAATTAGGCTGATTGAAGTCCTAAAAATTTGCGAAAGTTGCTGCCTGCGTCAAATTTGGGTATCCGAAAAATGGTCATCAAAGCATTAGGAAGAGATTTGCAGTTGAAAAACAACAAATGCAAGTACTCAGAAATTCTGAATGCGGGATACCTGTAATGCTTTGAGTCAATATAACCGGAACTCTATAAATCGGTTCACTTGAGCGACATATAGGTGTGAGTAGAGCCAGAACAGGTATATGGTCGAAGAGCTCGCGTTACGACCCGCCTTAACAATGGTGCTCCATTCATTGGATGACCATGTTTACCAAGCAACACTGAGCCTTAGAGTGAGTACGAGAGAGTGGTAACGAGTGTACCCTATAGGGGACTACAGGAACGCTTCGTTGGCGCCGTAACTCTCGACCATATACAAAGCGAGCGGTAGCGATAATGGTCCGCATGTCGCGCACTCTCTCACCCCGAGTCTCTGTGTGTGTGAAATTGCGATTAATCGGGTGTTCAGCGATAAAGGCACTTGAAATACGTGCTCGCGCACAGTTAAACACATGCACATTCCTATGCTAATCTCGCCGGTGTCACTTTACGTGTCGGTAACAATACGAGCATAGACGTAATATTACGGAATGCGCGGTAGTGGGGGGAAGTAGAGGACAAGAGGAGGGGGAGGGGGACGGGGTGAAGCCTTCAAAAATTAACGGGCCACCTGTCGATGAGCTGCTAATCACAGCTGCTGATAGCTACAAATGAGCGGCTTTTGCCAAGTGCTTGGTTTCTCTAATTGTGAAGGTATGGTAGAGATACTGTATATCGTAAGACCATTTTGAATTGGCTTGACATTTTGATCTCGGCAATCAATAGATAAGAAAGCTATTGGTCATTATTAGTTTTGTGCTACCATAACTTGCAAAATACGAAGAAAAAATCAAGCTATTGCTTATGAAGCTACGGTTGATTAGAGTTTCTTGTTGTAGTCACCAAAATGTTGTGGAGAAAAGTGAATATTTTACAAGAAAGGATTTTAACTCAGGTTTTTTGGGTTTTTAAAAGAAATGATGAAATATAATAATAATCTAACTGCATTTGGAAAAATACAACCCAAACCAACTTGTTTAATGCTTGCTGGAAAATAAAATTTAGAACTGTTTGTAAGTGATTTTTGAAAAAGTCTAAAAATGGCAGGGTCACAATGTCGCAGACAAAAATACTTATTGTTAAAACACTAAATAACAAAAGTAAAGTAGGCACATAAACAAATAACCTGTAGAATTCATCAAAAGCTATAATCAAGTTATCGCAAATCCCGAGAACTCGACCCTGATTTATTTTTCAGTTTTGAAACAAATTTTATTTGCTTTAGCTGACTGAAGTTCTCCCGTTTGAGTATGTGTTAAAATTGCTTTAATAGGCCGAATCCCGTCAACTTTCCTCGAATTCTCGAAGATCTCTAGAAGAAATAGTAAATCCATCACTTTCACCGAATAATCAATCAATAGCAGTTGACAGAGGAGCAAAAAGCCGTGAAACCTCACAAAAAGGTGATGATGGCCGTATGGCAACGACCTGCGCTGCACCTGTAGATGGCTGTAATTAACCATGGCTTACGGTGCCCGTCAGCGATTGTCCTTTCATGACCTTTAACGATTGGGGATGAAATAGGATGATATAAGCTGGATAATGCAAGCTGGAAACACGCAGTAGCAATGCATAGATGTTTTGTTACATATACATATTATTATAAATATTGATATCATACCATTGTTCTATTATCATCAAATATTTATGTATCTAGTCATATTTTACATGATTTTGTTAAATTTGATTTCCTCTAATTCTCTAGAGCTATGCTAGTCGCATTCAAAAATTTCGGTTTCGACAAAAAAATTTCTTACAATGGAAATGAACAGATTTGTGAAACAAGCATTGAGGCTCAGTGTGCGCTCACGCTAAAAAAGCGTTATTTTTTAGATTTGTCCATAAGCTTGCACCAAATTTCTCGAAAATTTCAAATCTTTAATTCAGTACAATTTAGAAGGCGAAAATCATGCGCTTTCTCTTATATTAATGCTAGAAACAGACATAAATGCCAATGTGTACAATAAAGTGAAGCTGATGTAGAAGAACTCAATTTTCACAAAATTGCTCAACGCCAGTAATAGAATTTAGTCCTTGTAATGATCAATCTCATTGCTTTTATTTGGAAAAGTGCTGAATAGCTGTCGATTTTTCTAATCGACAAATTAACACATGAATATAGAAATTTCTAACATATTCCGTAAGATGGGACATTTATTATTATTGCAAAAGGTTTCTATTAGTTTCTTTCAAAAGTTCTATCGCATTGATTTTGAAAAACTCGTAACTGCTCCCCCACAAAAAATATATCCTGATAGAAAATGCGTCTATTCTTAGTAGAACTTTAGCTGCTCTTCGGCAGCAAGGAACTCCAGAGATAAAGATGAAAAATACTTTTTTTTAGATAATTTTTCGAACAACTCAAACTCGTGATTTTTGAAAATAAATCGTCGAATATCTGCAAAGGTTCTAGAAAGATCTGGGAGCAATGTTTATTAAAAGTTTCGTGTTTTGCTCTTTCTAATGGTGCCAAGTTTGCGCTGATCGAGCCTTTCTACGGAAAGTTATGATTCTCGTGAAAATGCAAAAAACGGCGAAAATGATGTTTTTACATTTTTCTGCATTTTTCACGAAATCATAACTCTTGGAAAGGCACGATTAGCACAAACTTGACACCATTACAAAGAGCAGCTCACAAAATCCCTAACAAACATGCTCTCAGATTTTTCTAAACCGTTTTAGATTTTTGAAGATTTATTTTCAAAAATCATGAGTTTGAGTTGTTCTTAATTTTTGAATTTTCATCTCTGTTCCTTGCTGCCGAGGAACAGCGAAAATGTGATTAAAAAAATGGATGCACTATTTTAACAGGATTTAATTTTTATGGGTCTATACGTTCACGTAGGGAGTGGTTACGAATTTTTCAAAATCAGGGGACACAACTTTTGAATCAAGCTAATATATAGGATAGACTGAAACAATTGTCTTGATATCGAATTTCTTTCATTTGCAAACTTATGCCTACGCATTATCTCTCGCACTGCTACGCAGTATGCAATTCTTCAACGTTGAGCGCACAGCGACACCCGCGGAAGATACGCCGCAGCATACGCAGCTCCTATATATAGAGCCGCATAGTGTTCAATCTCTTTCATTCCTGAACATATACTAAAATTGGAACAATACAGAGAAGATTAGCATGGCCCCTGCGCAAGGATGACACGCAAATTCGTGAAGCGTTCCAAAGTTTTTTGCGTTTTTCCATCTCACAATTGTACGTCCACATCATGTGCCTCGTACAGCAATGGAAAAAATATATCGTGCACACTAAAGACATGAAGCTATCAAATGAGAATTTTGAAGCGAACTCGGCTTCACACAGTTTGTAGATAGTCCTTATTATTCGTCAACAGACAGATACACTTCTGCTTAAGAGTTACACTTGTCAATTGTTGTTGACATCAATTAACGGGAACTTAGTCGCGTAAAAAAAACTTTCCATAAATTCGATTTCAGAACTTCTATGCCTGTGAAGCCAATTCATTATAAATCGCTAATATGAAAAACATCAAAAACAATTCTCATTCTGCGTGTTGCAACAATCGACGCGAATCATATTCATTTACCACCTCTTGAGCACACAAATCTCACAAATAGAATACACCAATACACCAATGACCTCAAATTTCGTTAAATACATACTATCCTATACAATCGACTCAATATAGTGCCTAAACTCCTAGACAGAGCTCACCCCTAGATATACACTAAACTACTACACCACGAGGAAGACAACCGAGTATCGCTGATCAGACTGCTTAATAGGAATCCGTTGACGTTGTGGCAAGACACGTTACTTGTCGTCGTTAATCACACGATTTGCGAAGTTGTTCAAGTTTGATGGGGCTTTTTCAATTGTGGAGATTACCTGAAGAAATAGTTCTGTGAAAAAAAACTAACAGGAAGCGAGAAACTCAGACTCATTGGAATACATGCAATTGGAATACATGCAGATAAAAGTTAACTTCAAAGTTAAGTTCAAAATTAGCTCTTGGAACAACAGATTCGGAACTCATGTTTACGAAAAAATGAGCAATGAGAAAGACAGACGAAAACACCAACGTTTGTTGGAAAAAAAGTCGACAATGGCACAGAGCTGCACTGGCTATAGACAAAATGTTGTGGAATAAGACTGAAATCGGAACACGTATCAAATAGAAAATACAATTCTGATTATGATATGCAGAAAAAAAGATATTAACAGTAAATAGTAGATAGTAAATAGAAATGAACATAAACATTCCAGATAAAGCAAAAAAAATATAAGATAACAGAAATAAGGGCATGAACTCTGCAAGAATATAGATATTACCTTATCTACTCCTTTATTCCAAACTCGTTCTACATCCGTTGCAAGTTGCTCAGCAGATGGAAGCTGGAAATGCACAATCTAAGTGAAATTAAGATGGAAGACTTTAAAAGAACTTGCCTTCTCTGGATAGACGATCGTTCCAGGAACGATGTGCTTCTTCAACTTTTCATATAGATCTGCACCCTGCACAAAATATACGTTTGATTACAGGACATCTGATGTAGGTTAGGAGAACGGTACTGATATATTACGTTTAAAGTGTTGAAAGACTCATTTGTCAAGTTAATGTGGCACACGAAGTTGACACAGATCGAGTTTTCAAAGGGACACTAAGGACACACAAAATTACCCCATGTTCAATCCGTTACATAATGTTCATAAAAGCTCCAATTTTTGAGAATCTTCACGTTGGGAGGTGAACAAGACTTCTATCAGCTAATGCAAAAAAAAGAGAATCAAAAACAAAAGTAATTAAAACACAGAGTATGCTAACTTATAATCATAAACGAAATAAAGGTGTTTTTTGCAAGAAAAAGACGAAATGGCTAACAAATTAACTTACATTTGAAGTGTTAAGGGACCAAATGTCGTTGTCGATCGATAGTTTTACAGCAACAGCAACCAAAGCAGTCTTGGCAGCGAAGCTAAAAAGATAGCTAATTTGCAAGCATATGCATCATCGAGACCTTTCGTTACTTTAGCTTTTTCCTGAAAATAACGACCCATAATTTATTTGAAACTTACCGTGTAAATGACAAGAAGAACCCCATCGAGAGGAAACAACCGCGAAACTCCTTTGAAGAGAGAAGGATCGAAGAGCAGAGAAAAAAACAACAAATGTCGTAGTGTGAATTCGTCTCCGGAGCTACAGTATGACAACGACCTGCATACATTCTCGACAGAGCGCGCAAACTGCACAGCCATTCGAAGATTCTATGGGCGTATAGATATTCATCAATTCTTTAACAAGTGGTTATTTTCAATAATCACACACTATATAGTCTACAACTGATGTTTTTAATAGTATTAGTCAGTAATGTAATAGCCTTTGCAAGTTGAAGAGGAAAATTAGGAAGGGCTTTCGTGAATTGGGTGATTTCGAACTTTACGTAGTAGGTAAATAATGATGACGAGTTCAAGAGGCCCTTGATCTCTTGCTTCAGTTCTCCCGCTTCGCGAGTAAAAAAAAGGTAAATAAACTCTGATAATCCAAGTGGACTGCGAAGTTATGGAGTTTGGATAAGCTAGAATATCTTTATTCTACTGGCTCTTACTCGGTTAAGGCCTCGGACATAGTTCACGCGACGTCGCCTCACGATTTCCCCGACAAGACAATGTTACGAGTCCATTGCATGTCAATCAATGTCTTACAATGTCAATGTCTTACATTTCGATTGTGATAGTTAGTCACGATTAGTCGTGTAGAAAAACTATCACAACTCAAATGTAGGAGGATCAGCATGCAATGAACTAGTGATAGTTTTCATATTAAAATAATTGCAAGGCGATGAAATTGTGTAAATTATGCCCGAGGTCTAACACTGAACACATTCACGACAGTACGACCCATCGGTGGGTCGTATGTGTTCTGCCGTTTCGGACAATACGATCCACCGGTGGGTCGTAAGATTCCTGTAGCTCTAGCTTTGCCAGTATACGATGGAATTCTACGGGGTTCTGGCACATGATCGGGAACACCCCGGCGAAGCTCCAGCCAGAGTGGTCCGGGTTCGGGATACTGTAAAGCAATGTTACGATAGGTATACCGTAGATAGAGGTAAGGCACAGACTTTAGCTCCAATTCTTCGCAGAGTGGTGCTGTTTTTGAAAATTCAAGTTTGCATGCGCGAGAAATACAGGGAGGGCACGAGACTGATGTCAGCCCATTGAAAATTATCGATTTTATTGATTTTTCGCATTGTTCATCCCAGGAAGCTCAAACCTTGCATATATAGATTTTTTAGCATGCTGGTTACGAAAATGATAGTCTCAGGTTCCAATACCGCTTAATCATTTTCTTGATTCTTACAAAAATGCTACCGTGCTGCTACCGTATTTCCACTTGAAAAAATAGTGAACAAAGTGGACACTATAATCGTGATCAGCACGTGAAATAACCCCAAACCACAGTTTTTCATGAAAATCCATGACGTTGGGTTCGTACAGAATGACCACCGTAATCTTACCATATACCGCCAAAAATTGAAGTAAATCATATTTTGGTAATCAGCGCCTACGATAACCCTTGTGGTGAGTTTCTCGGAGACATGTTCGGACTTCTTCCAAAAAAACTACCATTTCGGACATTACGACCCACGGGTGGGTCGTAAATTTGACAAAGCGAAAACGACTCTCCGAAACGGCAGTAATCGAAAAATCGACCTTGTCTTGAATGTGTTAAGATCGTTTGTGCGAAGTTCGAAGCACCTCACGAGAGTTCAAAGATAACAGTCAAAGCAATTGTGAACAGATCCGGAGTTGGTTACTACACCTATGGACTTCCTTCCCCTGAGTTCTCATTTACACCTCATAAATTTCCAGAGCAAATAACCTGCTCTTCAACATGTACTTGAGCTGTAACATCTTTTACTTTTTACAGCAGTCATTGAAAAAAAGTAATCTTTTCACACGCTGTTCAATAAGCTCAATTCATGGAAACTGAGAAACAATAAATGATGAGCTGAACCGGAAAATCAATTTGAAATTATGATGTGAGCAGAATCAACGCATGAGTAAACCGGTTTCTTTGAATGAAAGCACATGATTGCGTTCGTATGAGGTTTCTAGCGCACACACTTTCGGCCCAAGTAGTATAGTGGTTAGAACTCCACGTTGTGGCCGTGGCGACACAGGTTCGATTCCTGTCTTGGGCATCTATTTTGCATTGCGACTTCTAAGGATAGGATATGAAACTATTGTGTTAAGTGACTTTTTCTGCATTTCAACCATAATTTAAAACTAATTCAACATTGATGAACTACCTAATTTATCAACATTTTGACATTGGAAAAAATAACAACATTTATATGACCTTCAAACTGAGAAAAGAAAAGGAGATATTTCGCTCGAATGCCGCTAGAGGAGATGTTCACTGCAGCAACTGCCTGATTTAGACAACCTTGGATGGACGACCTGCAGAACATCATGATTGAAAAATTGCAATCAAGAGTAGAAATGTCAAATTTTTCTTGTTAAATATTGGCTGATGCATATTGTTTGCCCCAAAATTTTTGAGATTCTGTTACTGTCCCTCAGCTTTAAAGATATCTTATTTGACAAAAAGGAGAAAATTTTACGCTTTCTGCTGGTGCTCGAGTCAAAATTCCTTGAGGGCATAACGTTATAAGATGATTAAAAGAAAAGGGCGCAAGTGTTTTTTTCGACTTTTGCTTGAATTTGTTTTTTGTCTTGGGTTCAGGACATACTTTTTTTGACTAAGAAAAAGTGGTATTGACTGGATGTCTCTGCGAATAGTTACGTCCGATTTTTTCGAGTTGAAACTTTTGATGAAAATAACTCTTTTTTACATACAAAATTTATTATTAGGTTGGACCGAAAGCTCGTTCGCACCATAAAAATTCATAACTTCTGATGTTTTCAACCGATCTGACTGCTTTTATTTTTGTATGAAAGAGTAAGGCACTTTATAATGACATCTTTGTTGCTTACTAGTGGTCATCTGCTGCATAGATAGCAACGATAGAAGAAAATTTGTCAAAATTTGAATTTTCTGTGTAGGGTCATAAAAAATCGGAAACTTGCAACAAAAATCGGAGCAGTCGATATTTTAGGTTCTTTTATCCGCTCTTTCTAACAGTGCAAAGTTTGCGCCGATTGAGCATCTCTGTGAAAAGTTATGATTTCCCTGAAAAATGCCAAAATAAATCTTCGCCCTTTGCCATTGCTTGCTCAAAAATCGTAACTTTTTATAGAGACGCTCAATCGGCGCAACCTTTGCACTGTTAGAAAGAGCTGGTAAAATAACCTACAATGCCGACTGCTCCGATTTTTGTTGTAAGTTTCCGATTTTTTATGACCCTACACAAAAAATTCAAATTTTGACCAATTTTCTTCTATCGCTCCTAATGCAACAGATGATCATTAGTAAGCAACTAAGACGTTTTTATAAAGAGCATGACTTGCTCTTTCATACAAAAATAAAAGCTATCAAATCGGTTGGAAATTTCAGAAGTTATGAATTTTTGAAAATGGTGCGAACGAACTTTCGGTCCAACCTAATAGTTCGCTAAACATAAACATTTTTTCAAAATTTTTGGTGCAAGAACTGTGCATCAACTTAATAGTTCAAGCTGCCAATTCTACTCAACTGAGATTTCCAAAAGCTAATAGTCTGATACTTCCCAGAATGTTCTATGATTACAGTTCAGAACAGAAATACTTGCAAGAAAAGTTTGGATTTCAAAAGTCAAAAATTCAGATCGAGATCATTTTTCACAATGTCCTACGGACGACTGGTTTCCCAAGAAAAGTGCGACAATGGAGTCAGTAATACATTTACACGTTACGTTATTTTTCAAAGTATGAAAAATTTACCTGCATTCGATCTCTTTCCCCCTTTGGAAGGCTTCTTGTGAGGACGACCAGCTGCTGAAAACAAATGGTAATTTTATACTGTCTTACGAATTGATCTAAAAGATTCTCAAAAGCTAGAAATGAGCAGATTGTTCTTTCCATCTCTTTCTCCACTTTTACAAATAACAGTGATCTACAGCCGTAGACTGTTTTGACTGCAATAATCGATGCCGACTGATTTGGACACGCTGTATCGGTCTTCACACTATACAGGGTTTTAGAAGCCATTTATGCACTAAGAGTCGATGACTGGTTATTTTTTAACAATGCCGGACATCTTCGCACTATGAATGCCATTTTCTTTATCTTTCCGGCATCGCTTAGTGCTGCTGTCATAATCTCTACGAGTTGAAAACAAAACTGGATCCATGTATTGCTCATTTCCTTGAAGCTCCCGAAGCTTTTCTTATTAGAAGTTTAGGAATACTTACTTACGACATATTGGCACGTTTATATGTTACAACTCAATTCTCTTCACCAGATTTTAGGTAATTCGTTGCACGCAGAAACAGGACGCAACTGCGGATGCTGTTAGTGTCTCTCGGATCAAGCGCACTCTCAAATCTCTGACCATCTGCTGCCTCTTCCAAACATTTAGAGTCTCAGCCAGAAGCAAATGCAACCAGTCTCTGCGTGCGCTGACTCTCCTATACCTTTCGTGGTAAGCTTCCTGCTATCCTGCACTTCAGCACCAGGTAGGTCTCTGCAGAAAGTTCGCTTATGAGAGACGAAGTACGAAAAATCGCGAAATATCTCTCCACACACCCTAAATTGTCTATGTAATCTAGATAGAAGAAAAGAAAAAGTGTATTAACTTACTTGCATTCAATAAGAATTTTGCTTTCAAGCTCCAATTCTTTTCTTTCAATCGGCGAGCAGTTGTCGTAGAAATCTTGAAATGCCTCGGCACCTAAACTTTGATGAAAAATTTCAGATCATTCAAGGAAAAATCCCTACTTGTGCCCTGCAAGTTGTGCTCAATGTTAGAATTGGCAGACGGCTGCTCGAGTTCACTCAACGAATCGCTCGTCTGGCTAGCTGTGCCCTCCATCTCAGAATAGTAGCGTCCAGAATGTACAAGAAAACTACAGCATGAAAGATGGTAAGCTCTAAGCGTTCATAGCATATTTCTACTTTGCAAAGGCACGCGCACTTGATTCACTTGATCAGCTTGATCCACTTCGCGATTGGTCAGTTCACTGATGTGACCAATAGCGGTGGGTGAAGTGGATCAAGTAAGGTGTGTGCCAAAAGAGAATGCTTGGGACATCAACAAACAGACACCACACCCCAAACACCCCACTGCACCCCAAACGATAGGCCCCGATGGCCTGCTTGCGCCAGGCAAGAAAAGATGTTTCAAAGTTTAACAAAACGACGAAGTAATATGAAAAGATCTCTTTCTCAAAGACGTGAAAGCTGAGAAAATCCAAGTCGAGAGAACGCACAACCGTCAATCTCATTTCGTTGTGGGTCTTGGAGCGATTGTGCCAACTCACAATTATCGATCAAATCCATTTCACAAATTAGCTGTAGTCTTGGTTTTTTCTTCTAGCCTATTACATTTGTCTATATATGAATGCTCTTTACTTCGTCTAGAAATGTCCATAGTAGAGTTCTAAAATATGCTTATTCAAATGGGACATGTGAAGCGATTTTGTTACATTCAAAGACTTCAACACATCGTTTTCTTCATAACCATCCATATCAGTGTTGAGTTCTTTTAAACTCTAGATAATGGTACAAGAAGAACTTTACGGTATCGTTCGGGATAATCGTCGTTCTTAATTTTCTCAATAGGTGAAATTGACCTTTTTATGGTTTATACATTCCTTTTTGCGATATATTCATCGAAAATTATGTTCTCTTCTCTTTTTGCACTCTTCGGAAGAGAATGGATACTGTTCATTTTCTGCAGAAATCTTGCTATTCAAAGCTTCTGCAGTTTCTTGCGTTGCGCTAGTTTAGTGAGTTTGAAAATCTAAATCTGCGCTATATTTTGGAACATTTACGGCTGCAGGAAAACCGAGAATTTATAAACGTAGGGAAAAGTGTCCTTTCTGCCAAACGGCTGAGAAAGTATGCGATATGTCGCATTCTTATAGGTCCTTCAAAACTAAAAATTTTATTAAAATTTATACTGTGAGCAGAAGCTAAGCATTGTGAAACGCATCTGCGTTGAGCAAGAAAGCTTATGTACAACAGATTGTTCAAGATACCGAATAACATCGGACAAGATTTTGGGGATTGAGAACTTGTACTTTTCAAATTGATTCAGTACTATCTCATCTTTTTGTATTTCACAACTTTGGAATCTGAGATCTATTTTATTTGTGCTTGCGAATATTATCTTCTTTTGTTTCAGTGTTGTATTGCTCATCTCTTTGCGCTTTACAGAGTTACGAAAATGCGAGTGAAGGGTCGTCCTACGTAAGTTCATGTTTTTACCAAGTTGTGTTTACCAAGTTACCAGTTTGTCTTAGCTAGACCCTCATGGTTCTAGGAAGATGTATCCACAATGTTTGGAGAGTGACGATGGCGACGAGTGTTACGATCCTGCTAAAGAGATTTTCATTACTGATGCCAGCCAAGTTGGTCACATAACGTTGAAAGCCAGTCGTGCAGGTATGTATCCGACCAGGTTGTCAATTATCAAATAACACCGGTGGATATTGTGCTTATTTTCAGATCGATGCAGACGGGAGGCTGTTAAGCGAAGTGAATACACATTTTATTATTTTATAGCTTACAGTATTATCTCGAGCTAAACTGATATGCTGCCTTTTGTTTAGGGCTTACCAAGCAGCAACACCAGTTTGAGAGAATATGGCTTCGATGTATGCGAGCAACAAAGGGAGGTAAGATGGAGTCATCTCTGTGAGATTAAATGGGACTGTTTTCTAAGCATTTCTCCTCATAGAAATCTCTGCAAAATTGATCCGTACAAATAAAAGGCCGGGCATACTTCACGCGACTTCAGTCGCGACGCGATTTGGCAATTCGCCAAAAGTCTTCAGATCCAACATTAGCAAACTGCACATGCATATTGTGTATAAATAGTACGTAAATTGATAAAGTGCCCTATTTTCTGTACATTTGGAATGTGCTTACATTGTGAGTTATGGACAGTTGGAAAATTGCCAAATCGCGTCGCGACTGAGTTCGCGTAAAGTATGCCCGGCCCGTAACATATGCACTTTGAGCGGGGCCGGATGGTGAAATGGTATTTTTTGGTGGAAAATTATGATGTTACTTTTACAATTTTTTCAATAATCTTGCTTCAGGTTGCTACACAAGCCGCGTTTAAATCATGCTAGTTGAGGAATATGTTGAAATTTTGTGAAATGCTATGAGTTATCTCTACTATTTTTTACACTCTTTGTCTTGAAAAATCGAAAAGTTGATTTCGTTTATTTTTTGCTTTTTTGCTGGAAGAATTCTAAAGGTGGTACAGGTTGGCTGGCTGCAATGATCATAATGCACCCAGTAGTGTATTGCTGCCTTCAGACTGACAACATCGCGGTTCCCATGCTCCGCCATAACTCTTTGGCATATTTTAGACAGCGGACGATTTCGAAGCTTTTGGAACGCTTCGGATTGTTGAATGACATAAAAGTGCAATAATACTTATAACCATTTCCCGTCCTCGAAAATTCACCGTAAATCTGCTATAGTGGACATGATTTTTTCTTCTCAATATTAATTAGAAGTGCGCACTTCGGCTGTTTAGAAATTGCGGAAGCTCTAGGGACCCTGATACTTACTTTTCGACACCATTTCCAATTTAGCGAAGAACATATCGCTCTAAAAAGGACGATTATATTTGCGTCATATTGGCACCCGCAGGAGTACCGTATGCTTACTTGCAGCTATCGTTCATCTTGACATACACTCTACTTCGCCTGGAGGGGTTATCTTGCACGCTGATTACGAATATCACACTTTTTCGCACGGTAGTGTCATTTGGTGGAGTTATAAGACTACGGTAGGGGGTTAGAATCACGGATTGTCGCAAACTTCGTCTAGGGGTTATTTGGCAAGCTGAACATGAATACCATATTCATTTCAACGGTATCGCCATTTTTTGGATTACTGTGGGTATACGGTAGGTGGTTGAGAATCCCAATTTTGCCAAAACTTTGCTTGACGGGGTTTTTAAGCATGCTGGTTGCAAATATCATGCTCGTTCGCTGCAAAGATGCCTTCATGTCAGAGTTAGGATGTGCTCAGTGCGAGAAAGAGCAACTTTTCCACTGTTTGTCCAAAGGATCCCAAAAATTCACGAAAAGGCTTTATTATGCGAGACGAGCGCGATATACGTGATCAGCACGTCAAAGAACACCTCGGTTTGAGCAGATCTATGACTTTAGCCACCTACTATAGGCCTATCATAATTCCGCGAGAAAAAAACGCAAAAAGAGAAAATATTAATAGTAATGATTGATAATAATTAATAATAGCAACCAATAATACGAAAGATACTCGTAATCAGCGTGCTATGGGACCTCCTCGGCAGAGATTTGAGCAAATTCGCGATTTTTAGCCATCTACCGTAGCCTACCGTAACCGAGAAGATGGCGCTATCATATGATATTCATATTTAGCTTGCCAAATAACTCCTAGACGAAATTTGGGGCAAACCCGTGACTTTGACCCCCTACCGTAATCCGTAATCTTACCGTAACTCCACCAGATGGCACTAGCTTGCAAAATTAGTGTGGTAATCGTAATCAGCGTGCAAAATAGCCCCTCAGTCTATATTGCAGGGAATCCGTGATTTTCATTTTTTGGGTCAACTATTGTCAAATAGTACCCACTTATGGTTAGCTTCCACTACACATCTGTATCCACTTTCCTGAGCCATGTTCATATGTCAAAAAATTCTTTATCTTCTTGGTTTCCTCGGGGTTGGAATTTCATGTAAGGAGCGCAAAATGAGGCTGATACGAAGAATGGCAAAGAATAAGTAGTACAACTTTGTCTCGTAGTAGACTGTGTAAAATGAGTTGCAATAGTTTCTTCAGAGTTAACTCAGATAGTTAGATCGCAAGCCATTTTGTAGGCCTTAGAAGGCGATCCTGATTATTATATTATAGCTGATCGTTCGCAGAAGAAACCGAAACGAGTATGGGTGGACGAAGACAAACAAAGAGGGCGGCCGAAGAGAGGTACTGTGAGTATCACTTATTTTCACTTCTACTTCCGGTTTAGGTCGTCCTCGGAAATCCCTGGTCCAGGCTATGACTGAAACTGAAGCTCCTAATCTGACGCAAGTCCAAACGAAGTCCCGCCTTGTGCATCGTGTGCGACGGTATGGAGTGGCAGTGGAACCTCGCCATTATGAGCGAAAGACCATACATCTACCTCAAGGTTGGGTTCAGTGAGAATTTCAATTTTGAGAGAGTCTTGTTATTTTGCGAACGCACTTCATCTGTGATACATATTTCTAGAAGGTGGTTTGGGAAGCCAGCATGTGCCTGGAGTGACACTAGGCTTGTCTTGGGATAATGGACACATGGTAAAACGAGTGTATCTAGAGAATTCTAATGTCTCTTTTACCGAGCTTAACCTAGGAGTTGGAGCCTACACGAGAGGAGAAAAGAATAGCACGGGAGCTGAAACGAAGAGTAAAACTTGAAGAGTTGGAACGCAAAAGGGAAGCAAGAAGACTCAAAAGGGAAATGAAGGAAAAGTTGACGAGGGAGAGAAGAGAAAGGCGTGTTACAGAGCGTCAAAAGCGAGAAGAGGAACGATTAGCTAGTTTGAGAAAAGAAGGAGAAACAGTTCGCAAGGTACGAACGTTGCTTTATGTGATCCTGCACTATTCTACGTGTTTCGACACTTTATTTAGACAGAAACAAATGAAGAGATAAAGAAACTTTATGTGCCGGACGTAGACGATGAATCTCAATCAATACATGACATGAGTTTTTGCTATGGAACTTTCCCCACTGGGAAAATCTTCAACGGCAAATGGCTGGTAAGTTGGAGTTCACTGTGTAGCAGTCTTCGAAATTCTGTTTAGGTTCTAGAAGAAATATTTCCGAACCGGCATGGAGTGGCAGCTTATTACGTAGTGGAAAATGATGAGCATAAAATCGAGGTAAAAATCCTTCACTTCGAGTATTATAACGTGCGAAAGAAAGTTTTCAGGGCATTTTGTATGCGCAAGATATGAGTAATTCGTTTGCACACCTTCCAGAAGAGGTCTATTTCTTACAGACGGTAGTTTTTGTCCCATTTACACCATATTTAATATGTGCTGATATGACCATGACTGTTATTTTTTTTTTGATGAGAAACATACGCAAGTTTCATGCCTGTGTCTGTAATTAGTGAGCAAACTCAGAAACGCTACCATTATATTACGGTTTTCTTTTCAGTTTGAACCTTATGAAGGTTTGAAAAACCGAAGCTGTTTACCGATATGACTTGATTTTTGAGTTGATCCAGTTTCAGCAGTCGGATAATGGCCGAAGCTACTTGTTTCAAACAGTGATCGATTGTCAGTTGGTGTCAGCGCCAGATCATCCAGACTTCTTTTATTGTGTCTTTATTTCACGGTATCTAGCCTTCCTGGCAGACGCATCATGCTGCACCTCATTACTTTCAGTAAATCAGCCTCACTTGCGGATTTATGGAACCGTTACCCTAAAGAGCATTTATTCAAGAAAGAAGGTGAAGCAAACAAGGCTTGGAGTCTTGGTACTGTAGGGCGACTTGCTGCTGATATATTATCGGTCGGTAACGTTGGTTGCTATGTTTGCAAGTTTTATTGATCTATACAGTGTATTCATTTATCACACTATCTGCCTTTTTATCTACTTACTCATTTCTACTTTGTTGCTGCTTTTCTTGATAAATTTAGCTTTCTCTCGTTATTCTTCTCAGCTGGTCAAAGTTCTCAGTAAAGGAAGCTTTTTTGCTTTTTACCTCCCCTATTTCTCTAGATCATCGAGGCGACTTACGAAGCGGGATACACCTTCCGCAGCATAGATTTATCTCACTTCCGCTTGGATTTGAGGACCAGACGACTTTTCTTGGAGAATGCCAGTGAGGTACGAGTAATTTTTCAGAGAATAAGCAAAGCGATTATACTTTCAGGTTGTAGTCAGCACTGAACTGACGGACTTACGGTTGAGAAATGGGGAACATGTATGTCACAATTACTGGCAGGGTTGCCTTGAATATGCACCACTCAGCTTGCACCATAAGGGTAGAGGTGAGTATTACGTAATAACGTACGTACGTTAACGTACGTTTGTGATTATCGACTTATTTTGAAATTGCGTGCAATCGAAATTTGCACTGAAGCTTGAATATTCATTCTTATACAAAAGGAGTTATGAATGTTCCATCTTATGGTGTATACATTCCCAAAGTGAAATGGTAAAGGCTTTAGTGAAGAAACAAGATCCGTAACTTTTTTGCATTAAGATTCTTTGGGATATTGCAAAAAATTTGTCATTTCAATTGTTTTTCTGTAGTACTATTCAATTTTGATAACTCGTGATAATCGCAGCAGTCTATTCTAAACTGAAGCGGGTGTGACCACTGCTCCGATTTATCACATGATGAGTGCGAGCGCGGACCGCGAGATGTACGAAGCGAGATAGCAGCCTTATATATATGCGTCCGTTGTCTGCTATTGCTTGTTCATTCCTGAACATATACTAAAATTGGAACAATACAGAGAAGATTAGCATGGCCCCTGCGCAAGGATGACACGCAAATTCGTGAAGCGTTCCAAAATTTTTTGCGGTTTCTGGTCTCATCATAACTGCCTGGTATTGCAAATTGAAAATTCGTTATCTTTAAAACTCATCGTATACTTCAAAAGCATAAAGCTTGTGTTACAGAAAGTATCATGAGAGCAGCAGATTGCGCTGAGGTACTGTTTTACATAATACTGGACCTGCTAGGACTGCTTACGTGGCGAGGGCTAGATGAGTCCCAGGTGTGGTTTAGCCTTTTGTCATCGTTGATATGGATCGGGGCATAAAATATTACCATACATATCGATTTTTAGACTGCAAAATGCAAAGAGGAGTTTATGACCCAGAATCGTAAAAAAGTGCCGGCTCCGTAAGTACTATCCTTGTCTGGATGACATTTTTCGAATTCTTTTTTCTTTACTTCAGCTTGTACGACTATTGGAAAATTGTTCAAAATGCTCAAGCAATAGATGCGAGTAAGCTCCGACGTCAGGATGATTATTTATTGTTAGATGGTGTACGTGGTGGAGCTACAGTATCAGTTGTGGGTCATACTGATTTATATTGGCTATTTGGTTTATATTGGCTATACTTACTCTTTAGTATGAAGCAGGCGTCATATTTTTACATTAGCCAAATTCAGCTTGACTTCCGCAAGTTGGCTGCGAGATTGGTAACCGTGTACGAAGTATTTGGTGGTGTTGTTGACGAAAGTGCGCCGTACGACTTCGAAGTGGTAGACGATCCTGCCGAGAAGACCTGCGAACAGGTACAGGCTCATACATTTGAAATTCAATCTTTTTGGATGTGCCGTATCTATTTTAGCAGCGCGAAGACAGTTTAGTCCAAAGAAAGGAATTTCTCAAACACAAACAGGATGTTCTTGGAGCACAGGATGATGCAATGACGATGCGCGAAGAATTAGGGAAAAGAAGTGAAGCTCAGACTGAAAGAGAACGAGCTGAGGCGATGCAAGATGCGAATGTGAGCGAGCAGCAGGATCTGAAAGTATCTACTTCGGACGATGAGCATGAATATGATGATTAGTTATCTCGTAGATTGGTGCTTCATTATCATTTTCAGAAGTACTTTTCCTTCTTTTACTATTTACTACCTCTTAATTGTAGTACTTATCCAGTTAATAACATCGAAGTTATCAGTGCACACTCAAAGAAACCAGTCTCAGATTTGTCGTGTCTTGTAGCTAACGAATTCTTATTTTGTTTTTATATCGTATTACATTTATTTTTCGATAAACACTGCAGGTTTATTCTTTCTCACATCCGTGGCTCTATCCGCAAGGGTTCTTTTCTTTTTTAATCTATATGAAGTTATTGTGAGTTTCCTTTCTTGAAGGCCTTCCAAGCAATCAACACTGGAAAATGTGCTCCGAAGAACGAAAGTTTACGTGAGTTACTTCCTTGTTTTTGCTCGCTTTCTGGAATGGGAAAAGTCTACGTGTAACCGTTTTATATGGAGAGAAATATGGTCATTTGCACGAGTCAAGTTTCAGACTTGGTCCCCAGGGGTAGTTCGTTTGCGCTCTTTCGTTCTAAATGGGCTATGAAACCTAGGAGGAAGTGCTCTGCCATTTTTGACCTTTACAGATGTTGTGTGTGAAGACTGAATGTAAAACAATTTATTCAGAGAAAGTGAGCTATGTATATTTACAGACATTTATTTATATTTTGTGCATATTAAACGTACCACATACGGTAACGCCGACAAGATCTCATCTGATCTCATCTCACTAAAGCTGACTATCTCACAAGGATGTTTTAGAGATTGGAAGAGGCTTGACTCTAATGATAACTACTATACTCATACCACCTTGAAAGTTTGTGAGTGTCTAGAAAATCTCATAAAACATAGCAACATTATAAGAATGTACAATACCCGTACTGCTGTGCAGTACACAGTAGTGAGACGCTCGAACGAATATACTTTTGTAGAAAGACCTGATGGGTCGAATTACTGGCATGATCTACAAAATTAAGAGAAAAACGAGGTTAGCGGAGATCAGGAAAGTATATGTTTTTTAGAGTTTTTTTTTGTGGATTATGCGCAGTAGCGATGAGCAAAGCAAACACTTTCGAGCGTCTGTTACAAAGAAACAATCAGTGAGGCAAGAGTGCAACATGAAACAACAAGGAAACTGAATCGTTAGAAAATACTCTGTATCCGAATATTGTAAGTAGAGCGGGTCATGCCCATCAGATCCCTGACATAAAAAGGCCATATACAACAAAGAAGAGAAATGTGAGTTAGATTCGAGGCTTAGCTAGAGTGGATGGCGAATAAGGGGACTCGGCGCATCGATATATCATCTGATTTAAGATGATAATGCAGGGGAATAGTGAGAAGTTGCGACTTTTGTGGTGTAAGTCGCACAAGGGCAAACAACAGAATGCAACGCTTTGTACAAAAAAAAAAACAATCAATACGCAAATCCTAGAGGTGGGAAAATTCTGGGACTATGCTCGGGTAGATTCCGGTTCCAAAAGTGACATCTCCTGGCCGCTACCATCTGCTCGAGCGCTGACCAGCGTTCGATAGCAGTTGAAGTTAAGAAGGGGCAATGGAATCTGAAGGGGCAAAAGGTTGACGTTGGAAAAAACATCGAATAATGAGAGATAAGAATAGAGAAATAGGAGAAACAAAAATGCCGTCGCATACCTGAGAAAGGAATGCTGGAAGAAGTACCAGGCCATGCCATAAACCCCAGATAACGACAAGGGTGATTGTTTTTACGAACACCAATGGGATGTAGTTCTAAAAGCCAAACATAGACGAATTCATAATGCTAATAACAAGTCTCAGACCCACCTGAAGCACCACAATGGGGAGAATACAAATGACTGTGGATATTCCAGCTTGAGACATGGGCCAAGCGACATTGCTGATAGTATTACGCATCCGATCATATGGTGTGTTCAGATCCACTCGCACCTCATGCCCATTTCGAATCGCTTCACGATATGTTAGCTGGACAAAATATACAAAGATATTACTGGTAAAAATAACAAATTCAAGGTCTGGACTTACCTGGAAATGATAGGTAGTATGGGCGACAAAGTCCACTGCCATACCGATACTGATCAGAACAGCGCAAAGCGATACCGGATCCAAATCAAGATGCCAGAATGAGAGATATCTGGAAAGAAAGAAAGATGATAGAGATGGTGAGGAATGATGGGAAACAGCGGAATTTACCCCATAACTCCAAGACTTATGGACGCGATAGCGGTCGTGGCCATCACGACAGAAACCGGATTTTGGATAAAGATGGTACAAACGATTGCCATACAGAATAGCGTCCACATACATGTCTGCAATAGAAAGATATTACTGCGAAGCTCAGAAAAAAAGAGAACTTTTCGAATTGAGAAAGTCTTACCTGCCAGGTTAGCTTCTTCAAGCTGAGCATTTGGTCTACAAACATGGCGTTGACGTTCCAAACGCTGGCATTGAGGTTTGGATATCTACGAAAGCAATCTATAGAACGTAAAAATTGAAGAAAATGCCAGAACTTACCTGTCAACAATAGCTCTCCATTTGAGCATCAAATTTATTCTGTCGTCCCATGATGTGTTGTTCTCATACACTACCATCAATGAAAATTTGCGAACAGTGACTCTAAAGAAACCCAAAATCAGTCAAAGTTTAAGGCAAAATTCTCTCCAGATTTGAAGAGCAAAACCAAAAAACCACTCACGTCTTGTTGTAATCAATGTTAAGGAAAGCCTTATGATGCTTATAGAGAGGATTTCCCAAAAAGCCAGGCAGCTTCTTATATCCAAACTCTTTCTCATCAGGATACTCATCAGCATCGAAATAGAAATCGAAATCATTGACACCGACTCCCCAGTAGTAATCGGTATAATCTCGTAGCCAAAACATGGTGAAGTTAGAGCCTGAAATCGGTACCTAGCGCTGTTCGAAACACCCAATCGATAATCGATTACCTCGACAAGTTGGCAATGATTCGAATTCGCCCACAAAGGTGTTGATCTCATTGAGCTTGTCAGCATCGCGAATATCAACAGGGCTGTTGACGATAATGGTGACGGGATAATATTCGGCCCAGACTGGAATTCAAGTATTGCGGGTTGCAAGAATTCATGAATAACGCAAAAAGAGATGAAGAGATAAATGCTGAAAGAACCGAATATTGAAAAAAGAGAGCCAAAAATTACCTATGCTCTCCACAAATCGGTTCGGTCGATGAATCGGCGTGTCCTTCGGAAGGATCTTCTCCGTATCCAGCTTGGCTGTAATGCTAACGGTGCCCATGATACCAAAGTACCAGTAGACCAAAGTGCCAATGAACAGTACTATGGCCACGCGCCGATCGGACAGAAACCGACTATAACCGTGAAGAACAGCACGGAAGAAGCGCTTGCCCTAAAAATATGAATCGCATGTGTGGCAGAAATAAATGCAAGTGAAAATAATACCTTCCGTCGGAAGCATCCTTCTGGAACTTCTTTGGTTTCTTCTGGCGAGCAGTAGTATAGAATCGGGCAGAATATGATCACCGTATATATGTAAGCGAAACCCAATGCCATTGCGCTACCGAAGCAGAAAATTGATATTTCTGCAAAGAAAAGTAACGGGTTGCAAATGCTACGAATGTCCAAAAGTAACGCTGTTAAATTATCTGGCTGTTCCGAACTATGAAGGAGGGCTTCGGATCTCGAAAGTAAATCATACCTTCAGTTGGCGTCAACCATCCAATAAGGAATGTTACGACATTGGTCAACGTCGTGGTTGTAATCGATGGACCAACCTGAAACAAATTTCTTGAAATATGATAGTTATGCCATCAAAAACTTGTCCAACCTCGCCAAGGACTTTTCCTAACCGTATTGCAGCTGACTGTCGCAGAGGCTGACGTAACCAGGCATGCACGGTGAGAAATGAGTCATTCACACCTAAAAAAGATTATTTTTGCATTTGACCAAATGAAGTCTGTCAACTTCAGTTAGGGGAAAAGCGACCTACCTATGCCCATGATCAAAAACGGCATGATAAGCATGAGCGAATTGGTTCGATTACCCACGAGTGAACTGAGCCCAAGTGTGGTCGTGATAGCCAAAACTGGCACGATAGCGCAACTGACGGCAACGAGTACCTAAATCATAATTTTCAGTATGGACATCTATGGTCAAATTAGAAAAAATAGAAGAGACATAACTAAAAAAGAATCGGAAATGAAGGAGGCGAAAATAAAGCCGTCACTAAAAACGTACCGTATTCCACCGTAATCGGTTGAAATATAGCGAAGAACCACAGACGGTGATGCAGACAAAGGCAAACATAATAGAAAATCCTGCAATGAACCAACGTCGGTAAATTCTACACTTCATAAATCTTGGAAATCTTAGAAAATTTTCATGGACCCTTACCTGTTGCAAAATACGGTGACATCCGTTGTCCATCTTTATTCATTTCCGTGTCGACAATTTCAGCACCGATGACCTAGAATTATAAATTTCAATTCGTTGCCTCAACTGAGGGGACCAGTTTTCGTCACTAAATCTGTAATAATAATTTACTGCGGCAGAGCCGATTTTTCTCAAAAACGAGATATTTTTGAGACGCAAAAACGCTGGGAATAAAAGTAATTCAACCTTCACAAAACTTACCAGTAATTCTAGCATATTATCATTGTTTGAGGTATAATTAGAGCAGTAATCAAATAAGGCTAATTCCCAAGCCCCCAGTCGTTCCGTATCTGCTGCTGTTTTCATTTCGGCCATAAACGACATGGAGATGAGCTGTAAAATGTGTTTTTTGGGGTATTATCTCTACTTCATGAAGGCATGTGAACTTTTACCTTGACGTATTCAATGTTTGTGATATTATAGTTGTTTGTAGTCTTGACGCCATAGAAATTGCGCTCCAAATGCAATTTAATGCCCCGAAGATCAGCAATGGGATAAGTCAGTTGTAATGACATTGATCCCGGGTTCAAGGTTTTTTGAATGAGTGATTGCTGAAAGAATCCTGATGAGATCAGGGAATCTGAAATGGAAAGGATATTTGACTTACGAGAAAATATCCCACAACCACATTTGAATCACAGTAATGTCCGCAAAAGTTACTGTAGGTGACCGTACTACCATCAGATACGGTAGCGGAGAGATTCTTGGAGATATGCACCATGGTTTGTACGGCTTCCTGAAAAATAATATTGGAGAGGATGCTGACTTGAAACAATTAAACAAAAAAATAAAAAGTGAAAATATAAGTACCTGCAGATAATTCAACCGATGCATGGAGCCATTATCTTTGGCCAGCATTAATACCGTAGTCATGGCGGGGTCCCCTAAAATACGAATTTGATTTCTGATAATTTTGCGTTCCAGAAAAAAAGGGGCGAACCTTGAGACCCAAGAAACTCGCGGTAAAGATCGGTCTCTAGCCGAGACCGTGATGTACGAGGTGTATAACCATCTCGAACATTGTCCCGTAAATGAAGCTTTACAATCCCGCCTAAATTTGGGCGATTAGCCAAAACTATGGCCAAAAAATGGAAAACTTACATGATAAAGAACATAAAATAAGACCCGATATGAGAAAAGCGAATGGAAATTGTCCGATAAAAGTGCCCCAAAGCCGGAAAAATCCTTTCAAGGATATCGATTTCAGCACAACAAGGAACTCATTGGTTTTTGTTCCTGAAAAAAGGGGAGATGAAGTGTAGAATGTTACAAATGGAGAAGTCATGTAACTAACTTGGTTGAATGAGAATTGAATGTGGATTCATAATCGGATTCGGTGGATCTCGCTTAGTGTTGCATAGCGGCGCCCTGCCCTCCTCAGAAGACATGACACGGATGGGGGCGCCTGAAAGTGCAATTGTGATTTGAATTTCTCTCCCCCCCCCCCCCTATCCCCGACGACGACGATGGTGTGATGTAGCCAAAGAACACGAACACGAGAAAAAGACGAAACGATTATGAGCACATGAGATGCTAACGATGAGTCAGAGATGTTGTTGTCCAGCTTGTCCATTCAAATTTTCGATGACACTTTGAAGAGGGGTTAAAAAGAGGTAGAGCGAATGGATAAAAATGAAGATCTGTGAGAGCGCTTGTTGAAGAGATATTAAACGGCCTTCAGTGACGTGACGGAGCGAATGTCCTTGAAGCCGTTTACCTGCCAGACCCAATAATGAATAAATAATCACGAGTTAATCAAGAATGGAAGGAAATCAAGCGTAAAGAGTTACGAAGTAAATGACAGAATATACAGACTTTGGAAGCTGTAAGTCGATTAAAAGAGAGAAAAAAGTGAGATAGCAAAGACGAAGTCAAGAAAACATTTTAGTACAATGCTGATAATACGGATTAACTCCCGTACAGGTGCAGAAGCTCCCCTATCTTTGACGAATAAAATTTTGAAGGAATTGGTTCTTATCAGCAGTATATAAAACCCATTCCACAAGAAATATGTCATTGCAGTGATGAGAATTCTTCTCAAAGAATCATTTCGACTACCGAGAAGTGAGAACGAATGTAATAGCTTGCCAAAAAATTTTTTTTGAGAACGTTTGGACCCAAAAATAGGGCCTGGATGGGCATAAAAAATATGGCATGTTTGTTGTCACCAAACTCATGATTCAACTCAGCAAGAAAATAGCAAATTTGAGAATTCTCAAGAACTCAGTTAAAGTGAAAATCAAAATCGACAAAACTCAGCTGAAGTGAAAATCAGATACCAACAAAGGACATGTTTGCCATTGAGATTCAGAATTTCTAAAAAGTACTCAAAAGCTGCAAGATATAATTCAAGAATCTACTGCATTGATACAATCGATGGCTGCTGTTTTTCGATTGCTGCAAAATGATCTTCCACTTTCCAATGACAAAAGTTTATGGTTGCTTAAATGCTGAACCAAATCGCAGCGTTCCTGAGCTGACTGATCGCTGGCACAATGTGGTCGAAGATAGACAGACTACGGTGGAAATGTCAGTTGTAAAGCCAGAGGAAAAGTCAAAGTAGATGCGGAACAAAAATCGCGACTCGGCACAACTGCTTTGTCTACACTACACAACCGAACCGTTGTGAACTACGTACGAGAACCAAACCCGATGCGTCCATTTTATGGCCAAAGATTGTTGGCTTCAAATCGGCTAAACAGCCGCAGCTCGTGATGTCCGCCATTGAAGGCTATGATGGCTTTTGAACGATGAACACACACGTGATTGTTTCTATTTAGGCTAATGTGGCGCTCATGACTTCATGGAATCTTTGATGGAATTCGGATAAGGGAACTTGAGGAAGAAATCTGAAAGAAAATCTGTCAAAAAAGCTCAAAAGAGCAGCAGAAAGGGAGCTGTGCCTTATTTAAGGGTACTAAATTGGTAGTCGGAGCATCTTGTGAAAGGGCGAAGACCCAGGACAAGAACCAGCCCTGAAAGTCAATTAGACATGCACTTCCAAATTCGAGGCAATTCTGAGAAGAAATACAGTTCTACTCCAACTGCAATGAAATGACAAGTCTAATCAAAATTGTTTATACTTACTCAGTGCCAAATTTTATTGGAATCAAACTTCAGAAAAACGTTTTCTGATGAGCAAGAACCAATCGATTTTCGAATTCGATGAAAAACGCCAACGAAACGGAATCGAATCGTACACAGGTTACTGCTGTAATCATTACACTGTGTAAAGGTGTGAAAAGGCGAAACGTCGAGAAATCGGAGAAACTCTCTTGCTTGGAGAGATTTATGTGCAATCGGCGTGAAAAAGAGATGCGCATCGTTTACACCTGACTAGGTTTACATACGCAATGCTCTGTACGAGTTTTAAACTAAAACTCGGTTTTGGCGAAATTGCTATCGTTTGATTATGCGATGACGAATTGCTTTCTCAGAGATATTGAATCAGGACATGCACGGGTGGTATAATGAAAAGTTGGAGACAGCATGAGCTGGAATCGTACAAGAATAGCCGCTCTAGAACTAGAGTTTTTCTTTAGGGAAAGTGCAACGATTCAGCAGACAAACGAGTCACGAAACATGTGGAAGATGTTGGGGGAAAATTGGGTCAATCTGGCTGAATTGAAGATTTATTTGCAGTAGAAATAGTGTCGGAGAAGAAACTGTAGTACTCTTACTACAGATTCGGTTCTCTCAGCTGATAGGGAGGTCACAATCACATGTATACAAATTTTATGAAATTATGTAGATTCTCCGACCTACTTTTCTTTCTCAACATTATTCAAATGTGAGTAACAATATTATAGTACTCTAAGAGATCATTATCACAAACTTAACGCTTACCAACAATTTTGACAATTCATAAGCTAAAAATTTCAATTGAAATTATACTTATGTCTAGTTACTCAGAAGAATAAGCTTCGCGGACCTTCTCTACCTACTGAGGAGTTCCGGAGAAGGTCTGTAAATTTTTGTACTGTGTCTCAAGAACGAAACAAGATCTTATTGCTATTATTGATCTGATATTGAGTTGAAACATTTTTGCATAATTTTCGCTACGAAATTTGCGACTAAAAATTAAAATCACGAAGGTACAACTAAATGTAAAGACAGCGTTAGATTCCAAAAACTACGAAAAATTGCGATTTAAGACAAAATTACAAAGGTAAAACAAATTTTGAAGACTACATCAGATGACGCCCATTCTGCTTACAGTCTCGGACATCGAAATGCCTCTTGTTATCTTAGAGGACACGTTTTTTCCCCCTCAAAGATAGTTCTCCTTCTCTCGCTGGATCAGACAGCAAGATGATGGAGCAGGTAGCTGTTCAGCAGCAGTCAAAAAAAAAAAGCTCTAAGATAAGAACGTGCTGAAATAGATGTGTTACACTAGAAAATCAAAGTAACAATCGATCAAATTATAGATAGAGATGTTTTTTTTGCTGGAAAAATTGTATCGCAATAGATTTCGCTTCTTGACGGATAATTTTTCCCAGCAAAAAATCAGTACAGAACAACGGTGAGAGAGGAATGCCCCGATGTTTGATGAGGTATATGATGAGAGACACTGGTGTGCTGTCTGTGTTTTATATTGTTCAGGCACGAGTGCTGGAAGTAATTTTTGACAGAAATGATCTTGACAGAGTGCAGAACGAAGATATATGATGACATATAGAATTATGTCATATAATGTGGTATAATTTAGTGTGATGGGCATCGATCAGAAGTAAGGGTGGACTCATGCGGAAGAGCACTGACGGAGAGGTTATAGATCAACCAACGTTTGGAACGGCTGCTGCGTCGTTACTTGGTCCGTGAGTACTCCTACTTACCATTTTTGGGACATTTTGAGCAGTTCTTTACCCGATTAGTTGTTTGTTGTTTGGGGTACAATGAACGTCGAGTGTTACAATAAGTAGTCACACACCAAATAGCAAGGTGTCATTTTATTACGTACTTCTTTACTTGAAATCAATTTTTCGAGAAAAATCGTCTTCTACGTCATAGTTCTATCGCTATAAATATGGTATAAAAATCGCGACCAAAATAAAACTAATAAAAATAGACAGAAGGATCTTTGATCGCTAAAGGTCTGGAGGATTCATGGGATGAAGGGTTGCGCAGTATTGGATGGATTTGTACAGATCTTACCAAAGAAATTTTCAAAGGGATCAGTAAACATAAAAGGGGCGGGAGGGGAGCGTAACATCGAGGTTGACATCTTGGAACTGGAACTACTTTTCCTCTTTTTTCCTTGTTTTTCTGATACATCACCAAGGGTAACGGCATTAGAAGATGAAAGAAGAATGAGGCAAAGACGTCATTAATGGTAACAAAAATGATAGGAATTTTCATGTATTCGTTTTCTGGTTAGACTGAGTTATCATATTATTCCTTTTCCTTGACATTTTCAGTAATTCCACGCAATACATAAATGTCAGTTCAGCGCTACACATACCTATTCAAACCTATAATATGATTCTTCCCCGACATTTCCCGAACGCCCTACTTGCGTCACTGGGTACGTCCCTCATCTTTGTTTACTATTACGAACACCATAGTCTGTTTTGATCATAAAATAGCCTTCCAAGCCGCAAGTAATCTCGGGTATACGCTGCGGGAATGTTATCCATATCGGGGAAATGAGCTCTGGTGAGAGCAGTGGCTAGAGCTTTGATCCTTTACGGGTGAGGATGTGTCATTAAAGAGGCTGGTAGAGTTCGTAAGATATATTGCATAAAATTGCAGAGCTAGCATAGTTTCAGCCAATATAGCAGAAAAAATCAGTTCTACTCAAAGAAAAGCAGCAGAAATCTGGCCTTATTGACATAATACCTCCTGCTTGACATCAAAATAAATCATGAAACGAACTTTTTCTTGATAAGTATAAAATTACAGATTACCAAGAATCCTTTTACAAGATGGTGCTGAAATTTGGTGGGAATTTACTCTCTATCCCTAGAAAATTGGTTTTGTGTATACCAAGGAACTGGGCTTCAAAGAAAAGTGCACTTTGAGAAAAAAAAGTTTTTCCATCATTCTCAAAAATGCAGAGGGTCAGAGGTCATACGGTTTTGCATGTTTTTGTCTGTATTTTTTTCATTGATTTTCAGAACAACCGTTTTATGATGCACATAAGATGCGAAAAAATATCCATATGAAATACTAGCTGGCATACCCGGCTCCGCCGTATGTTCCGAATAGAAAATTCCATTTCTTAACCGATCCGAACCAAACTTGGCACACATACACTTCGGGCCCCGGCGGGTATCACAGTCCACTTTTCGTTATCGATTGATGTCGATTTTATCGATTTTTTGCAAAATTTGAGCTAGGGGGCTGGGATTTGGCACAGGGGGGTAATCGAGCATGCTGATTACGAATACAATATTAGTTTTCGAAAC